ATCATTGAACCGGAACATGCTGAAATATGCACAACTATACTTGGTACTGATCATTCCTGTAAAGTTTGGACGAAATTACACCAGTAGTTTATGAGGAGTAGTCCGGACAAGTTTTGTGACGGACGGAGGGACGGACAGACAGACAGACGGACAGACAGACGACGGAGAAGTGATCCATATATGTCGCCATTACTCCGTAGAGGCGACACAAAAAAGGACAGAAAACGTACCTTTTCCTGTACAAAGTGTCTGCAATTGCTATTATTATCAGATAAATACCCATCAAGAAGTCGGCAACGGCCAAATTAGAAACAAATATTCCATATCCTAGTTTGAACTTTGATCTGTCATACACAAAACGGTATATGATTGATATGAAATTGCCAATCAGCGCGCATATTCCCATAATCCAAACCATAATTTGTAATGCTGTAATCCTCATTAGATCATCACATGATGAAAATTCATCTTTGCCTGGAGTGCACTGACTCTCGGGTAAGTAATCAGGCCGAATGCAGCAAAACTTGTAGGCTGGTGTCCGTAGTACTTCTAATTGAGACAATCCTGTAAATAACTTCTTATCAAACGTCCTTACAACGCTGCTTTCAAAATCAAGATATTTAGCAATCAGTTCGCCAAAGGCAAAGTTGTCTACCTGGTCTATACTGTTGTTGGAAAATGTCAATGTTGTTAGTTTAAGACCATGGAATGCGTACAAGAAGATGTGATTGATGGTTGATCCTGTTACTATAAGTGTCCTTATGCTAACAAGGCCTTGGAAAGCTCGAGTTTCTATCATTGCAATGTTAGTGTTTCCATTCAGTTTTAAAACCTTTAGTCTTTTCAAACCCAGAAAGGCCGACGTTCGAATGACCGATATATGATTTAAGCTTAAATCAAGAGAAAGCAAATTATTCAAATGCCGAAAGTTATCTTGAAATATATCTTGTATTCCGCACATTGAAAGGTTTAATGCTACTAAATAAGGTAAGCCTCTAAACGGATACTGAATTAAACCATTAAAAATTTAGCTATTTCCGCGAACATCTAAAATCGAGTGCGTTTGTTTAACAAACTTAGGGAAAGCGATTTGCTGATCTCACTCAGCCATGAAATCCGACACAATTCAGAATCTCAGGACATCTAATCACACATTTTCTCGTCATCATGATTGATACACTGAACTTTTCCGTCACACATTTGGTCCATTGAAATGCATTTCGTATTTGCCATACATTTAAAGTCATTCGGGCAAAACATTGCTGTATGTTCTGAAATGTAAAATGTAGGTATGTTATAAATGAAAGATAAATGCAACTACAGCTATAATAAAAATTGATACTCCGGGAATAACAAATACGAGGGTTTTTAAAAAGTTTTCGTGACGCAGTTATTGTCGGAAAGTTTTTAAAAGAAAATCAAAATTTAATCATTAAAGGGGAAAATCTGTCAAAAAAAAAAAAAACCCTGTAACCGTTTTCCAAAAATCTCACGACAATAACTGACGAATCTTTTGGACAACCCTCGTATACGTTAAATCAAAGCATGAAAATATTGTCTTTTATAAGGGGGGAATTTAATCCAAGCAGGCAGTAGACTACATTTAAACAATTTCAGACGACTTTTGATTTCTTTTTCGTCATCGTCTCATTGCGTTAATCAAGTATTCTAGCACAACATCTCATAATTATAGGAAATATTTTATTACATTGTCTTTAACATGAAGGACCCGTTTGTTAGAATTTATTCTATTTTATTTTAAATTCTAAAATGCAAACATATATTTTGAAAATTGAAATTCAAAACTTTCGTATATGATGAGGAATATCTTACACTCGGTTACATGGGTATGTAAAATAAACTTATCACTCACTTTTACATATCATCGGAAAGAATGATGATCCTATCGAGGTAAGATGCGACCAATGCTTTACTGACACTTCTATAACGTGTGCAAACGGACCAAGTTTTGAAGCAGAAATATTCAGATTTTCGACCACTCTGTACACATGGAAGTCCGGTGATGACCTAATATTCTTGAACATCATTTCGGCAACAAGTTTCGACACCTCGGATTTTTGAAGAAAGACTAATCCCCTTGAATTATTCTTCGAAAACTGAATGCTGTTTATGAAGTTTGAAGCTAGAACAGTATAATGACACATGTATTCACGATTGATAATGTCATATGCATTAACCTCTGTGTCTGATATATCAAGAAATAAATGCTCGTATTCCAATAAAGTCGGATCTTTTCTGACTTTATACCGCAATACTCTGAAAATTGAACGCAGAGCAGAGAACTGTTTAGCAACATTTTTCACGTATGTTTCGTCGAAGTCTTCATTTTCTGTCATTAATACAATTTCATTCCCTTCCTGAAAGCATCCTGCAGACAAGAACCAAAAGAAAAAGTGGAGTTCTCACATTATGATATTTATACTGATTTTAATTGTCATACTTATTTTGCACAACTTAGATTTCCTGTTTATTATATACATTTTTTTCACTTTTTGACAAATCTATTTGAAAGCTTTTCCCTAAATTTTATGCAATGGAAGAATTTTAAAAAGTAGTCCGGCAAGACACGAATGAAAATACGAAAAATACGTTTCACTGCAGTGAAAAATAAATTTTTAAAATGAAAATACGGAAAATGAAATTAAGCATTTTATTTCATAAATATTTTTCAATATTTCATTTCTAAGTCTGTATATAATAAAGATTTAAAGTCTTTGAGCATGTTGTCAATACCACAACCAATTTCATCCTCGCCTCCTGGACATTGTTTTTCACCGTCACATACGTATTCTAATGGGAGACAAAAACTGTTCAGACATTTCACGGTATTCGGCGGACATATGAAGTCACCTGAAATGTTTATTAAACTTATTCCAGTATATACATGTATATATACAGATGAATAATTTCTCCAATAAATGCACAAAAAAAGAAATATTTATAAATAACGAAAAAACAAGTGGTGACATTTCAATTGCAACATTTTGATTCATCGGGTTCACGAACTCACGATTCCAACTTCATGAATTCAAGTATTCAACTTCAAGTTTTCAATATTTCAAGTTCATGAATTCACGTTTTAAACTTCACGCTTTCAAATTTGTGAATTCCAGAAAACTATGTGAATTCATTATTTCAACTTCGTGAATTCAGGAGTTCAAATTTACGAATGGAGGATTTTCAACTTCCTCAAGATGAAATCTTGAATTCCGGAATTGGAAATCATGGCGTTCAATGCATGAATTCATCGTCATGATTAAATGAAGTTGAAACTGTGAACCAGTGAAGTTGAAATATCCTCACCGGTCTTTCACATTAATAATAGGATTTCCTAATTTCATGAACATGAAAAACAATACTCTATCAGAATAAGAACGCCACAAATACGTTAAAAACAACATTTGTTCACTTACGACAATTCTGAAGATGTGCTCCCGTGTTACAGCCTAACATAAATCCTGCTTGGTCTCGTTTATATAAACATTTTATAGATTTATCAAACAATTTTGAGCCTCCATTACAACCAACTTCATCACTGACATCAATGTCCTTTGCAACTGTTAAAAAAAATAAGTTTTTTAAGTCTTAAATGTTTACCATGTTTATATGTAAGTATACAAAATAAATATCGTTTGCATGATAGTTAGAATAATTTCTTGAATGAAGGAATCGTTTACAATTAAGTTCAAACTTACCTGATGAACAAACAGCTGCGCCTATCTTAATTTCAATATAACTCTCAACATCTCTATAAATTTTGATACTGCGCCTTCTGTCAACCTCGTGATATTGAAAGAGAATTTCACTTTCTGACACATTGGATGTGAAATTATCACAGTAATTAACGATGCTGAAATATATATATTATCCAAATATTGTGAAAATGACATTATGTCTATTGAAGCATATATTATAGTGGGTGAAAAGTAAAAGTCAAAATAACTGATATCTTTACAATATATTCTTTCAATTCCAGACAGTTTTATATTTAATTTTAACAATTTCGAATCAATCATCATTATTAAAGTCAATATTTTCAAATTTATAGTCAGTTGATCTTGTAAATGAAAACGTTAACATAATGTCTATTTAACATCAAAACTAAAGGAACAACAAAAACAAAACTGCTGAAGGAAATGAACAATAGCAATAGCGGAAAATCTCTAAAAAGAACATAAAAGTCGACCCTAGTAATCGAGCAACTATTTTTGTTTTTAAATAACGCCTTTATAGAAAATGCAAAAATAATAATTACACATATCTTTATTATTCATGTTCTCAATATTTAAAAAAAAAACACAAAAAATCTTTTAGCCAAAATAAATTTTACTGCATTTCTAACAACATATAAGTCGCTCCGACATTGTGACATTTCATACTGCGACTTGCTATCTTTACTTGTGGGAGACCCCAGACGCCCCTCTGCATTATTTTGAAACAAGAGCTGGCACCTTAGAAACACCACCTTGAATAAGAAACTGCAATTATATGATACATATATTATAAAATGAAAGCACAAGGTAATAATGCAGTGACTCACGGCGGGCTGTCCGATTGAAAGGGCTTGACAGTCATAACAATGCATCGGCATTGGTGGCTTAAGGTCTCTTCATGTTCCTCATCACGTGCTAAAACAACAGCTTCTACGGCCGGTGAGCATGTTTGTGTGATCTTAAAATAATAACCAGTGAAATTCCGACTATGTATAATGAGTTGATGTTTTTCTTTTTTATGACACATTATGTCATAGATTTTATAAACGTTTATGTCTGTTTTGTTCTAAGTTCACCTTTTAAGATATATCGTGTAAATTGTTTGTCGTTAGAAATCACATTTAGTAGGTTATTACTTGTACAAATAGCTTTAAAATGTGATAAAAATATTATGTATTTAGTTAACAAAACTACATTTTTCTGGTAAGAGACATCAGGGTCAGCATGGCCGTCATGTTGTTTGAGATTTTTTATCCAAAGGAACGTGTAGTAACAGTAATACAAAAGAGATGGTATATAAGCACGCACTGTTTGGACTAATTCTTTTATAATTATTGTATGAAAGTAGTTAAGCAAAGATCTATTGTTTCAGAAAATATTGAAGTGACATCATGCTTATTTTTATCTCTGTCAAGTTGAGATTTGTTTACAGTTGGAAGAACACAATGCCACTTTAAAGACGTTTTCGGTAGTTTTCTGTGCACATCGTAATGCGCTTCCAAGAAAAATAATCACGGATAATTGCTCTTCAAAAAGAAGGTCAAGTTGAATAGTATTCGGATAAGTGTTTAAATTTTGGCTATAAGCAAATAATGAGTAAATAATAGAGAATAGATATTCCTAAATATTCAGGAGGAGATCGGTTCAAAAGAATAAGAGGTGGTTTAGACAACATCAGATTAAGGATTTCTCCTCGCATTAGTACGACAGCATTGTTGATGATTCTGCGCGCGTTACCCCATCCGCTAGTGGTATATTGACGAAAGTGCGTCGCCACTTGCTTACTAGCAACTGGGAAATTATATATTTTAAAAGTGTTGAATAAAAAACAAAATTAATATCTAAGAAATGTTTTGAATTTCATTATTTTCTTTAACATCTAAAGAAAATGAAATTTTTATTACAACATGTTTTGTTGTATATTTGACAATACATTTAGTATAACACTGATATTTCTTAAGGAAGTGTGGTAATTTTGACAGTTGACATATGCGGTAAGCATGGAAACTGCCGGTTTACAAAAAATCTAACACGTCAACATATATTTTTATTTCTATTTTTGAATTCACTATTAAATGTTATTTGATATATCAATAATATAGAAAAATTTATGAATGAAATTTGTTGTTAGCTTTAATATTTTTTACAGAATTCATGTTTATTTTTCTCATTTTTTGTTTAGTTAAAAAGCATGAAACACTGAAAAAAATGTTCCAATTATCATTTGTTTTATACAGAACCCTAAGATAAAGCAAGCTTTGTATAAAATTATGTTTATTGTGCGTGTAATAAGCTGTCTTATACATTTTTATAACACTTTTTGGCTATTTTGACAATTATGAGATATACGGTTACCATGGAAACTGATATATTTCAAAAAATCCAACACGTCAACATATATTTTTTATTTTATAATTTAACTTTATTTTTTTCTCATTTTTTGTTCGGTTAAGGAACATGGAAAACTCATTTTTTAAAGAAATATGTTCAGATTATCATTTGTTTGATACAGAATCATTACATAAGGTTATCTTTGCATACAAGCAATGCTTGTTGTGTGTTTTAAGATATCTTATACATGTTCTATTTTTTAAAACACAGTTTTGCTATTTTGACAGTTTTGAGATATACGGTTACCATGGAAGCAATTTTACAAGAAATCCAACACGTCAACATATATTTTTATTTTTATTTTTAAATTCGCCATTAAATGTTACTCATCATTCAAAAAATTTATAAAATTCTATGAAAAGATTAAATTTTCATCAAACTGTAGAAAATGTCTTTAAGCTAAAACAGATGGGTGTGAAAGCATTGAAGAGGATGCCACAAGTATATCAATCGCATTTAGCAACTAATTTATTTCATTGATTTATTAGGGAAGGTTATCATAAAAAGGCTATAATAGAGTAACAGTGATATTGTTATTGAGATGAAGAAATGGCAAAATTTGGCAGTAACCTTAGATAACTGAACACTCGTCTCCTCTTTTAGTATGAGATTTTACGTTCTTTGTCTTATTAGATCAAGTATATTAACAATGATTAAATTTTTACAAGCTTACATTATTTAACAAGGTCATTATGGAAACTCCTTTTTATCAAACACAATGATCTCAATCTAATATATGTTGCAATTATTTCCTTACTTACATTTTGTTGACAGGTGTACTGTCTGTCTGTCAGTATTTTAAAAATGCCCTCCTCGAGTTTTTTAGTTATTTCATTTCTATATGAGTATATCAGCAATCCGTCAAGTCTAGAAAATACAACATTTGTTCTTCTTCTAGCATTACAAAAAGGAGACTTATTAAATAACACATTGTGATATCATTTTTTTTTCAAACAGACCTATAAATCATATATGCTATGTAATTATATGCAAGATACAAATTATACCCTTTTGTCATAAATATAAAAAAATCAATGTGTTTTACAAAATAACGACACTGAAATGAATCGTGTTATGAGTAATTGCTTGCAGGAATTTAGATTTCATTCCCGTCATTCATTCTATTTCAATTGCAAGGTTTTTTCCGGGAATATGTTTTGGTTTTATAAATGTCCAAGAATACTTATACTTTTTTCTTGTACTCCTCAGATGATTCATGACATCGATTTTGTTTGATGTTATCGTATTTGGTTTTAACTCATTTTTGTTCACTTATGTGGAGACGGACTTCAAAACATATTACAGACTGCTTATCCAACATAACTTCTACATCAGCGCCAGAGACATATGGCCATAAGATACAATATCCGCGATAAAATTTTCACAGAGGAATTTTTCCCAGACCGAGGACAGCTGGTTTACAAATTCAATGCTATCCAATATCCAATGTGCATTTTTTCAACGAATACATAATATTGCCCTAGCAACCATTTCTGTAATTCAATATAAGTTCTTAATTGGTGCCACAAAATTCTTGTTTTAAAGCGACCAACATTCTTTCTAAAAAGGTATAAGGATTTCAATTCTTTTACAGTAAAATCGCGGCACAATACATTTATTATTAAGAATTATTTTTAAGTGTGATTTTTAATGTCAAAAAAGATACCGTGTTAAACACTACTGTTATACTTTACTACTACTAATTGTTCTAATGTATATGTTCTTTTATTTCATTAGGTAAAAGGTGTTTTTTTAAAGTATAAATAAGATTGTTTCGCCATATATCGTTGATATGTATACACGGATGTGCCTTGTAAACCATGTGTTCATACATTATACAATTAATCGAGCATGATGTAATTTAATATTTGCTAAATTAGAAATACGTACTGTTTATGAAAATCATAATTATGTGATATCGTATATACTTTCCCATCTGTTCTTACTTTATTGAAATCACATTCAACTTCTGTATGACCTGAAACATACAAAAAAGAAATATATGAAAGGGGAGTTCAATGATAATTACAAAACACATAAAAGTTGCATTTTTGGAAGGTTGGCGTGTAATGATAAAGTGCAATATCTCATGCCACCAGCACCGGCTTTAGCGGTATTCAATCTTAAGCTAAATCTTAATCAGTTGGGATCAAACCAAATTAACATTTCCTCTTTACATTACATTTAATCTTTTCAGTTATTCCAAGGAATTTAAAGATATTTGTGAAACATTGCCACATGAAATAATCACCAATCGCAACTTTTCGGCCTTTTCTTCGGATAGGGACCTCGAACATAATGATATGAATACAGGAAACAGTTTTACGGTCTTACATACTGAGAAACTAAACGTTATAACAAATAGTAATTTATTGCCGGGAGATGTTGATAAGTTTTTATATCACATAAACCGCGGCACAGGAGTGTAAGAAAGCCTTTAAATAAAAAAGATATTACACAAGTGTAATAACACTTTGACGTGACGTCATTTTCGCTATAAAAACATAGCGTTAGAGCACGCTTATGTTAGCGTTCCATTATGGGCGCGTCATTGAAAAATAACTCATTTTAACAGTTTACTCTTCCTATTTGTGATAAAAAGCATATTATATTCGTGTACATTCAATACAAAATTTTTTGAACTCGTTGAATAAAACAATATTATGTTCGCCAGAGGCTAGCATAATATGATTTTTTTTCACCTCGTTTACCTATTAATGAGCATTTTGTGAAAAATGGGTGTTTTCATTGAAAAGTCTCCCGTTACAAGTTCAAATTGCTATAATACTATAAAAACGGCTTCAACACTAATCAAACTTGGCACAAATGTTAACTGGTCCATTGCCCTTGCAACAACATGCTCAGGCTTAAATTTTCTGTTACCATGGCAACGAGGGGACATCTCAAAATTGCCAAAATTGCCAAAAAATCACTATTGATTTAAAAGTGCTGCAACTTCTCAATGGATTGAGATAGAGTCAAATGCTTTTCAGCGTTGGTTACACGTTACCTTATGATCACTCTGGGGTCATTAACAGCCTCTCACAAGTCTAAAATTTTCTTGGCGATGAGGGGGACTCCGCCCCCATTCAAACCCCCCAAACAGAAGGGGGGATATCCCCCTTCTGGCAACCCCCTGATGTATCTTTTGGTTGGGGACCGCGCCGAAAAAGAGGTCACTTTTTTAAAAACATTTCTCAAACAAAAACAAGTGTTGGGGGCCTAAATAAGGCATTTTTTCACCATTTGAGACAACAAAATGGAGGGGGTTGAAAAAGGCGTTAAAAGGCGTCTATATAACGTAATGGGTTTAATAAAGTTAGTATTAAACTACACTCATTCAATATCCTCTATATCCAATATATCAAGTAAATGTCGACGTAATATAAGTAAATTCTTATACATAATAGTAAACAGTATATATATATATATATATTTATACTTATTATTATGGTAGTAGAAGCAAAAAGTACAAAATAACAACCTGTTGAAATTAAGTCTGATGTGTTTAAAAGTGTACATCAGAGGTAATATGCAAATTAAAATGGTTATCAAACATACTTTCAATCATATTTGTACTGAAACAGACTTTATGTTCCTTTGGCTGTTAAATATATACATTCGCTTACATTATCGAAGATTACACTACTGTAAGTGTTTAAATATGCAACCACGTGGTAGAACAATTTTTAATCCGTATTGTTTCCGAGGTTATTATAGATAATAGCCGAGGACGTTCCGATTGTATAATCATTTAGAAAATTCTATGTTACCGGTTAATTGAAACAAATACATGTACTTTTCTTTGTCGATTGAATCAATTTGCTATATAATTGCAGTGATACAAAAGTTGGCATGTAACTGTTTTTGGCTTAATCATAAGTGATGTTTATCTGGTAATTTTTTCTCAAAAATATCCCATTCATCCTACTGGTAATCTAGTTTCTCTGTTTCGGTGAATGGAGATTATGCATTTATTCTTTATTTGTCATGTAAAAAGTCGGTATGCGAGTAATATAAATCTTAAATGCCATACCTAATTTATAAAGTCCACTCATTTGATAGCCTGCCGTCCAAATGTCGTGGCAGGAAGAATATACTGGTGAAGTACAACGCTCTTCATCTGTCCTGTCTTCGCAGTCAGGATAATCATCACAAACTAGCCTACTTGGAATGCATCGCACTTTATCGCAGTGAAAAGTTCCATTATGACAAATATCTGTAATATGTGAGAATAAAAAATGACAATCAAGTAGTTTATTATTAAAAGATAACAGTAAACTGTAAAAACAATCCAAATATGATTAATCATCAACAATTTATTTCGTTGAAATGTACAGAAACTTCCATGAGTGTGGGCTATCAATGAATCATGCAATATTTAGTAGAATATAAAAGTGAAAACGTTAATAGCAATTTTCTATGCAGACTTTTGTATACACAACACTTGCGTATAGCCGGGAATAATAACACTTACGATATGTAAATAAGTGATAACATAGAATATTCGTCACCTGAGGGCATTAACGGGTTAACTAAGGAGTTGACCCGTTACTGAACTTAGTTGCCGTATGTATTCAACAATGACCTACCACAGATGTGTTCATCAGACCCATCAATACATTGATTAAAGGCGTCACATCTCTGTTCTTCTGGAATACACTGTCCATTAGAACAGCGGTATTCCGTATTCAGGCAAAGTGGATGATCTATAGATACAAAAACAATGATTGTTGCCCACTACATATAAATATAAACCTCTAAAAGTTAATATCAGTTCGTTCCGAGTGATCAATTTAAGTTCTTTTATCTAGGACGAGGATTTATTTTTACAAGTTTTAAGTTTATGGAAGTACGTAAAATTTAGTAATTCACAAAATATACATACATGGATAACTTGTTATTTTGAAATCTATGCATCAACATCATCAATTATATGAAGTATAATGACGAACAAAATTTGAAAATGTGTTACATTTGTTTATTGTGATAGTATTGCATTAATTTGGTGGTACGTTGTGTGATCTTTTATGTGTTTCATGTGCATTTTGTATGGTATTACGTCGCACCATAACAATAGAGGTCATGTGACGCCTATCCAGCTTTACTGGTGGGAAAAAATACTTCAGGTGCCGTTCCATGCATTATTAGGCACGATTAGGCAATGTTTTATTTGAATAACACATTATTGATTTTAACATTTTAACATTATTCAGACACGGCAATACTAAGTTTCATTTACTTACCACAGCTTTCGTCAGATGAGTCCGGACAGTCGGAAATAAAGTCACAAACCTGACTGATATGAATGCAGCCCCCAGTTAAGCATTCAAAATGATATTGAGAACAGTTGGAATTTTGACCTATCATGAAAAATGTTCAGAAAAGTATTACGTTTTCGACTGAGATTTTATTTGGAGCAGAACTGAAGAAATTAGAAACGATGTAGACAAACAAAGAAATAAACTATTTCTTATTACGAACGACACATAATTATTCTTAAGCAGAGTATGCAAAAATGCATTTAAACATACGTTACTGGATATTGTCTGCAATCTGTTCAATATAAACACTATACTTTTATTATTTTCCTTCCTTTTATTTATTTATTAAGAATCACTAAAATTTAAATTAGCATTTACCCTGGCCCTGGGAACATTCTCTTTTATTTAAGTCTTTTGATTACTCTTATAGTTTCTTTGAAAAGTTAAGTGGTAAATTAGATTTTATAACAACGGTAAATTAGACAAAAAAAGTTTAACGAACTGTTGATTGCACAGTTCTTCTCATCAGAGGCATCCATACAATCTATTACACCGTCACATCTTGCAATAATCAAAACCCATTCAAGACTTTCACAATGGAACAATATTTCACTTGACATTAAAGGATCTTCCTTAGGTATAATCATAGTTGTTAACAATTTTTGCTCTGAAAATAAAACAATGCCACATATTAATATTTGATTAAACTGTGAACATTTAACACGATGAAGAAACTTATGCTCCAAATAATGGTCTTTTGCCTCCAAAACATACAAATCATGGGATATCACCAAAATAAAGAGTACAATGAAACAACTTACAACAAAATATCACCGAGCAAGAAACTTAACAGCAATAACTTAGTTCTGGTAGCGTTACTTTCTATTCAATTGAACTGAATAATGTTCGGAAAACTAATGATCAATAAGTTAATAAGTAATTACATTGAATGTATACTTATCCTCAAACAAATCATTTATAAGATACTGTCCATCTTTCTTAAATATGTATTGCATTACGTCATTTTGGATACAGGATTTTAGCAATAAAATCAAATATCTTTTATTTCATAACTATTAAGTCAAATATCAATGTGCATTGAAATTATTTTAAATGCCGTATAAAGTCGAGAGGGTATGTACTTGAAGTTAATATGAAAAGTAAATTATAAGAAATTGTTGCATTGCACTTCATGGAGTAGGACAACCCGCTTCTGGTTGTTTACCTCTTGTGCAATTATTCTCGTCCGAAACATCCGCACAATCAACTTTTCCGTTACATTCATGTTCGTATGGTATAAGGATTCCGTTATCACAAACAAATGGTGTTCCATGCAAATTAATGGCATTGCCTGTATCTTTAAGCTGGTATTTATCTTAAAGAAAACAGAAGGATACAATTTGTGGAGAACATTATTATTGTTATAATAGACAGAAAATAGACAGAAGATTATACAAAACGATACAGAATTTAAAACTAAATCGATTTAGTTTATTTTTAGTGCAGATTATCACTGACAAGCAGTATTTTTCTCACAGTCACATTTTTTCCAAAATGTCTACTTAATACAACAAAACTGCCGGCAAAAAATTCATGTCCGCTTCACGTTGTCAGACATAAATCCATGATGACTATAACAAGCATTCTACTTCATCTACTTTGTGTCAGCTTAGGTGCATTACAATTATTTTTCTACACTTTTTAGTTTTGAATTTGATGCACAATATATTATGAAAGGTATTTTTTTCATTTGACTATGAAAACATTGCTGTGAAGGGTATTTAAGCAGATTGAACGTGACTGCCATGAACGAAGCTTGTCAACACACTTAAATATGGACCGGTCTATGATGGGCACATTGTTTCAAAAATTGATAAAAGCAACAGAAATGTGTCATTATTCAAGAACAATTTATTTCCTTTCTGCTATATGTAGATATGTCATATTGGATCATGTATCTCACACTTACTGTCAACACTCATATAAAGTTCGTTCAAATTTTTGGCACGTAAAGCACTTGATACTATAAATATTATTAGTGGTATAACATACCTTTCATTATAGACAATGTCATATTAGAACTGCACAACTTTTTGTTTAAAAGAAAGATTGATAGTAGAATGTGAATGTTCGTTTCGGTTTTTCCGTTTGTTACTGTACACAAATTAAAAGAGGTGAACACTGAAGATACTCACAATCAAACAAACAAGGCTCATGACGTGTCCCTGGATCAGTTGTAAAACACCACAGGTACCCTTCAGAGTGTGGATCACGGCAAAAGTTTTGTGCTTCCTCAACATTTCTATCTGGAAACTGTGAATCGGAAAACTTGTCGTGATCGTGAGGTGTTGTATCGTTCCAATATTGACAAGACTTGCCGGTGTATGTTTCATTATGTTTTCCTTCGTACGAGGAAAGGGTTGAGAAACACCTGTCTGATGCAGTTTCTACAAGCAGATTTATATGCAGTAAAACTAAATGTTAAAACTAGAAACTATAATCACTTATCTTATATATAGCTTTTAAATCTTACAATATCTAACCATTCCTATTCTTAATACATTAAATACATTTATCCAGCTTAAATTGAAATCCGGACAAAACCATTTATCATTAAATTTTCAAAAATACATGAGCTGACTGAAAAACGAATAGTGTAGAATCTGAGCAGATGGCATGGATGTGATTTGTTTTTTAATTCTTTGTGTTCGTATTCTTGTTCTTGAAAGTTCATCGAAAATCCATTAACACATACTAATAGAAGAATATATCGGCTTTCATAAGGCTGAACGCACGGCAAGGAATGGAAGAGCCAATGAACCCCCACGATCAAATGGTTGAGTGCGAATGTTTATAAACAACTCCATGTTTTTTAGACTTCGATATAAATGCAACTATATGAATTTATGAAGTAGAAAATATCCCACTTACCGAAAAAGAGACAATTTTCAATATTTGTTTCAGGATCCGTTGTGCGACACCAAAGAATACTCTCGCGAAACGGATCACGACAATAGTTTGACGCATCTGCGAGTGTCTCATCCGGGAACTGGGTTTCCTTAATAGTGTCGTCTCTCTTATGTGGATAGTCTGAGTCCCAGCGCTGACATGTTTTACCTGACGCTGTTTTACTCAATTTTCCAGCATAATAATGAGGGGCAGACTCGTCGTTACCTGAATGATGCATACATGTAAGCATGATAAAATGATGCGTATAATTTCTTTTATTTCGCCATGCATTCCTATACTTTGTTTTTGTGAGGTTTTACGTTGCAATAACACAGTAAAGGTCATATGGCGAATTTCCAGGGGGAGAAGACCTCAGGTGACCCTCTGTACATTATTTTAGTCATAAACGAACAATTAAGTAGTACCTTCGATGTTCTTTAAGCTAGCTGGATAGCTTTCTCACATGTAAAAACCGACCCCACTTAAACAGCTCGAACCTACAACAGTGACAGGCAAGTGGTTTGAAGTCAACGACCTTAACCACTCGGTCACGGACGCCCTACGCATATACCATCATACCTTTATTTCCTCTTATGCATTCGTATATGCAACAATTGGTATCATTTCGTTATGCATCTGTAAATTTGGAATAGTAACACATATTATCGATTGCACGATTAGATAATTATATAATTATTGTAAGATATATTTTCATCGCTGATTTTTTTGTTGCATAGGTATTTTATTAGAAATTTCATCTTGTGGAAAAATCAAACAACAAACCTTTTAAAGCACATTCTGCAAATCCAACCATAGGATTTGTGGTAAAGCACCATATATACCCTTTTCTGAGTGGATCCCTGCAGTAGTTTGTGTAAAAGTCTAGGGGATCACTAGGGAAGTAATACGTATAGCTGACATTGTGAAAATCAAAAAAAGCATCACGCCACACGCGACAAGGTAATCCTGATTTCGTCATGTTCATTTTTCCATTATATTGATGTGGCGGAACAAAAGGCGCATCATTAGGCAGAACTGACATAGAATAATAAACAAAATAACATACCAACAGAAACGGACAAGAACTTATAAGACAAAACTAATATCTTTTAGTATAACTGAGTTCAATTTCATGTTATTGCTTTTTTCTATAAAAAAAAACAAATTTGTGAAAACAATTTTACGAGGGTTGTTCGGGAAGTTTAAGGACTTTTGCTGTATTTTTTGCTTAATGGTGCGTTTTTGTCCATATTTCACAAAATGTAATTTAAATATGTGCGCAATATGTAGAAAAACGCTCACTAACAAGAGTAGACATATACCGCTCGAAATTTGTTCTATAGGAACCTCATAACGCATACCCGGAGCACTCCAATTTTATCGTATTAAAGTTAATGGTACTGATATATTTAAGTGATAATAATTTTTTTAAATTACAATGGATAACGCCACGAAAAAGCACGAGCATTAAATACAATGTCAACGTCATTTCCTGAAAATTCTACTATTAAATCGTTACAATTGTTTGAATAACAACGGTTTTAACATCACTGGTACTTACACAAATCAAGAGAAAAATGACGTCAATAGGCGACGTTGAAATCACGGCAATCATCAAGTTTTGTGAAGGAGTAGAAAAGACACAAACGGAGACGTATAAAATGATTCAAGCATCTAGTACAACAAAGAAATGCTGTAGATAGCTAGTATTTAGATGGCACGTCATGTTACGAAACAGAAGAGAGTCAACAAAGGATGATAAGCGATGCAGTGGACCATCGGTTGTTTCCGAGTTTTTCCGGAAATCAAAACACAGCTACGTGGTCGACGCTTTGATTCCGAGTTGGAATTACAGATTGAAACCCAGTGAATACTTTCGTCACTCGGCAACTTCTGGTACGAGGACATGTACGACAAAGGGGTCAAGAGGCATAAAAAATGCATCGCTGTGAATGGAGATTACGTCGAGAATTGAGTCGATATGACGATCGGGGATTTGACGTTTACATATTTAGCACTGACGTTACGTTAGCATGCTCTGGGTATGCTTCGGTGTATATTTTGTTTTATATGTAATTTACTTATTGTTTAATGTATTTCATTGTAATTTTTACAGCTGGCTGTAAAAGAATTACATATTTTATGGAGTTTTTCTTGTTTTTCAATTCTTATTATTAATCAAACTACAGCAGAAGTCTTAAAGGTTCCCGAACACCCCTCGTATAAGCAAGAATTACGAAAGTAATTTCTATACTCAACGTCAATCTACTTAATCCGTTTAAACGATTATATTAGACCGGGAAATACATAAAGTACGACAAACATATACAAATGTATAAAACATGTTCACTTATTATTTTAATGTTGCATATTCATTCAAAATGAACTAGTTTTTTATACACTTACTTTTGAACTTACAATGATGTGAACTGATGACAAACATAAATATTTTCTATTTAATGAATCAATTCTTCGCCGGATACCCACAGCCCAACCATTAACATGTATCAGCCGTGGGAGTTTTCGCCGGTTTCCAGTCGATAAAAGGTGTGTCAGAGACAGCTTTTTATTGGTTGCATCACGATTTTTAAGGCTATTAAAACCAATCAAAACGCTCGTTCTATGCGACGTTTGGTGAAACGTTAGTTCTAGAAATAATATTAATTTTATTTTGGGAATTTCCTTCCCTTTGTATTGGCAAGACACGTGAAATAGGTTTACACCGTTGGAGCTGCTATTTCATTTCTGATAATTGTTTACTTTTGCTGTCGAAGAATATAAAAATTGCAGAACATGTTTAAATGGTCGATATTTTACGCACCTGTTGCGGTATATCGACGCGTTTTGATTCAATTTACCAACGGCTGAATACAATTTATGTTACATGTTATTCAACCGTGGTTATCTAACGATGGGATCCATTATGTCTATATGGGTTTTCTAGCTATTATTGCACTAACATCTTGCGACATAAGCAAATTATGTTTTCCTATGCAGCTATAAAATAAATACTGTAAAACATATATTTTGAAATAACATTGTAAATACTTCTGAATAACTAATTTTGCGTTTTGCAAAATATCTTTAATTCGCGACAAGAGCGACAACAAGAATCTTACAGTATACCCGCGTTATCATAACAAAACGATGGTAATAACTGTTTATTACTTATAGTTGTATCAGTTTTGCCTTCTTCACAGACGAAATATTTGGCCAGTCCTCTCTCGCAGTCCTCAACTTCCCAAGTGTCATTGTAACGCCCAAGATGGAAGGACATACGTGTACAACTCCCTTTGGACGAAGGTTCATCTCTATTCCTGAAAATATTTAGCTTAGGCCTTTAATCTGTACTAGTCAGTTTCGATGTTCAAATGACTGAAAAAGAAGATTTAATGTTAATAATGAATTTCATAGCTTGAAAAGAAACATTACAAAATGCAAACCAATTCATTACACTAAGAGAATGAATTATTTCTTAGACTATTAAATAAACTAATAGTTTTTGTCAATGAAAGATAAAACGTTCAGTTACCATGCCGCGAATGTTGAAGGCGAGCCGTTATCCCACATATGCTCAATTACACCTCTACCATTTCGTACCTTGTGTAAACCTGAAGTAGATAAATATCACTAGTAATTAAAAGTAACAACATGAGAAATTAAAACATAATTTGGGCCTTATTAAAGTAGGTCTAGGTAGAAATGAGATTACTTGCAGTAAGTCCGAAGGCTTATATTTGAAAATGTATGCTATTCTTTCAAGAGTATGATTTTCAGTTCTTCTGGATATCAATTATCAAAATCGTACAATAGAATAATTCAGTCTCTAAAAATAAAATAGCATTAAGATGAAAGATTAGACAAAACTTGACAACCACAACTATCCCTTCACCGTGTCAGAACTTTTAAAACGTTTAAAAGACTAACATTACTACATTACTTTGGAAGAAAATTTCTACACATGTGTCAATTATTGAAATGAACCCCCCCCCCCCAAAAAAAAAAAAAAAAAAAAAAAAAAACGCCAATAATTTATATCTGCAGAGACGAATTGATAAAATGCAACAAAGGCATTGACAAGATATTTGCTTCTAGTCTCTATATGCTTGACGAAATAGCTTTTTACTCATAAAAGCATGAAATAATATTATCTGAATTAATGAAGTTATCATGTATCTATGAAAGCGTGTTAATGAAAACAATGACATATTTGGGCTACTTGCCCGGTGCTTACCTATATGGGAGTAATAATGCGGATCCGGTTCATCATATTTAAATATAGTATTAATTGTGTCTTTGCCTACATCAACGTATCGAAAGTTTCTTAGCATTTGTTTTACCAGATGCATTTCATCGTAAGACGAAAAGGAAACAAGCCTTAACTTCCGTATCCAACACTCATAGCCGGCCGTGTTCCAAGATACAGTCGTGCCAGAAAAAATACTGTAGCATTTGTTAAATGTTGTAGAACATGCTGGAATATAATAACATTATCAAAGTCGAATTTTTAAATTATGGACAAAACCAATGAATACGCTCTCCCAAAAAAGTAAATAAATAAATAATAGACTCATACAAGTCAAGAAAAACTCGCCTTGAAAGCAAGGTGATTATCAGAAAAAAATGAAATACTAAAAAGTAAAGTAGAAGATAGTAAATTATAAACAATCAACATTTTACAAAATAGAAAATTATTCATGTTCATAACTAATATTTATAAATGTCCGTTAATTTTAGATAACTAATGCTTTTGTTATGTTGATTCTACAACAAACCTATTAGTGGTATTCATGCTTATTTTTATGACAAGCGTAAGAGTATAATTAAAAGTAAAATATTGTGAAGTGAATAATAAAGAAAATTTACACATTTTAAAAGGCAGTACAACCAATGTAAATTACCAATAAGAGATCAAAATATGCAAAAATAACCCTTTCTTTGTAAGTTACTTGTAGAAAGATAATAAAAAAACTGCAAAATCAGTCATAAGTCGCACGTGACATGAAAATTATCACTTAAATCTTCCATCTCTTTATTTTTCTTAATTTCACAGAATTTTTACTGAAGTTTGATCATTGTTTCGTAAGATTTTAACTCATCTATATACATGCAGGTTAAATGCGATAAATATGTTAAGTTTGGTACCAAACAATTTTTAACAAATATAGAAATTACCTTTATAGGCTAATAACGTTGATTTCGCAAAATCCAACCCTGGAACTAGAAATAAGACTAGAAATGTGTCAATTGAACACTTTGAGCTTTTTTTCATTGCCTTATACTGTATCATATTTACATGCAAACATTGCCTTTACGAACCATTATTAACATTCTTTGTATAAAAAGTATGTCTGTTTAATGTCAAACACTTTAAAACTATATATTGCCTCTAAGTCTTATTCTATAGAAATTACATGAATTGAATAATTTGATATTTTTACAAGGGTATACATAAGAACAACGACCTAAAAAGTTTTTTTGTTTCTTTAGAAAGGAGAAACATGTACTTTGATATATTAAAATGCTGGTTTTTAATAATGTTAACAAGAAAGTTATCGCGTGAAGAATGTAGAACTTAATGTTAAGTAAATGATCATAAAAGATGTTAAATGTAAACAAAGAGTATTTGACTTCATTGTAAAATACTTAATCACCATACTTGTACAAATTGAAAAAAGCAACAGAACATAAAATGCTTCAGATAACTGTCCAGTGACAAATGTTTTCAAACATTAAGAGGACAATGAAAAAAATGTTTTTGCAATATAAAGATGAATGCATTTCCAAGGCTTAAAAGATCCTATAAAATCTTGTTAAATTATTATTGCAGGATCGAGTAGACGCTTCAAAACGGAGAAAAACTTAATAACATTAAATTACTGGTAACATTTTGATTACATTTTCATGTTGTAAGAAATATCACACGTACACGTACCTGCCAAGACCATTTGAAATACAGACAAAATATAAAATTACGATGTCAAAACTATATATTTACTATGTTACACTCATTTAATGCCATATGTACCACGTAAAGAAGTATATCAAATCTACCTTCTGCTAGTTTGGGCTTCCTTTCCCTTTAAGTTCCCTGAGAAAATGTAGGCGGAGGCCAAGACTGCTTACCTTCATGTAAACAACGTTCAGATCTAACAATTGGATCTAGTGTAAAACACCAAATATATCCTTTCTTGTTTGGATCCCTGCAGTAGTTTTGTGCATCAGTAACATTGTTATCAGGGTATGCATAATTATCGCGATAAAAGTGTTGATGAGGGTAATTATCCACCCAGCGTTGACAAGGTAAACCACTTATTGTTGTGTTTATTGTGCCTTTGTATTTTTGAGAAGCAGTATTAGACATTACTAAAAAGACATGTAAAGGATCATATTATTTCATTTTAACATAAATATAATGCATAGGACTACATGATTGATAAAAAATTGATTTGGATGAAATATATATAGTTTAAGAGGTCAAGTAAAAGTTGTTGCAATATTTTAGCAATTGTCAAAGGTGTATTGTTCAAAATCATTTGCAGATAATATATGCGTCTGGTTAAAAAACCTTCTTCGTTAAGGAAAGAACCTAAAATTTATAATTCTTAATTTAAATTGTTGTCAAAGTTATATTCTTAATATTGAAATATCTCTATGATGTTTATCATCTCTGTTTAATTGTATTTTTATATATAAAGTTCAATGTAAATAATTGTCGTTACAAATTTGGACTGCGGTATTGCATGCATCTATGGCAATTCCATCAATACTTGAAAACAACAATGGAAATAAGAGATACAATTGTCTTTATTTGTATTTATTTATTTTCTTATATATGATGTGGTTTTTGGTTTCATTTCTCATACATTAAATTCTGTTTCTGTTGTATCAGGTATCATGATATATTTTACTATGTCGTTGCGTAACTGAAATGAATCTATCTATCTCATTCCTTACACTGAAATATAAATGTAACACTCTTGCCTTATGAATAACAAGTGTATATCTTTTAGTGTATATTAGATGACAGGTGATTTAAACGGAAAATCCTACCTCCAGTTTGTTCATATCGTGCAAGCTTTAATACGGCTGAAAATATATATATATATAAATTATTTTAATTAACCACGTTATTTGTTATCTAAAACAAAATAAATACATGCATATAATTATAACTATAGTTCATAAGTTTAGGAATAGGAGTGATCGTGTCATTCAGGAGTTTTAAAGTCAAAAATCGGATCTACGGACCTTGAATGAAGGAATCTTCCAATAGAAACATGTCGTGACGTCTAAGAGATCAATTTTCCAAAACAAAAATAGGGATTCTTTTCCGCTTACAAGCTCAATTTCTATTGATCTATTCCATGTGACTCGATGTTTTTGTTGCTTATTATTCTTTTTTTAAGTTTTACATTATGCATTGCAACTGAAATGGTGCTTCTTATAGATCAAGTTTTGTAAAATAATCATGATACAACCCAAAGAATTAATGTACATTTAAGAAACATTGCACGTGCTTTCTCCCATTGCACGTGCTTTCTCCCATTCATCTTCAAATGAAGAGTACTTCGGCAATGGTTACGGCAAAATAAACAAAAAATAATTGCTTTAAAGAAATCAAAATTGGCTTTTACAAAAAGTAGACACTTTCGAAAAAAGTCCTGAAAAAACCTTTTGTTTGACTTTTTTGCTTACATAAATTGTTTTAGTTTTATTCAACCTCATTTTCTTGATTAAAACCGGGCAAAAGTTCATTTCAATTTTTAATGAAACAGACTATAGTTATCTGACTTTTTACTTGCTTGCAATATCAGAATCATGGAAATTAGACAGATAAACAATTATAACCATGTTTCTGACGTGTATTTTCTTATTTTCTAAGAAACACAATAATGAGATTATTATTGCATAAAAATAAATGTGTTTTAATACGTCTGCTATGATCATCAATTCTCCCAATGGTCATGTGACATGTCAGATTTTATGTACATGGTGTTCACAAAAGTTCATTGACAACATGATGTATGCTTAATGTTCAGAGTACTTAATTAACTTCCTTTTTCATTTTCTTTTCAGAGTCAGACCCACATCCGGGACAGGCACTTAGCAATTCACGTGAATGAAGCTTACAGGACAGTAATAGAAGAAGAAGTGCCTGAAGTGAGATTTGCTACAAGGTTTTATGTGCCTGTCACAACCCTAAAATATAGAGTAAAGGAGAGAGTGACAGTGACACTGTAAACTCAGTCCCCAAATTATATTTAGTTAAGAGCAGGAAGCTTTCTAAACTGACCATTTAAACACTATTACATTGTTATGGCTTCTCAAGACAAGAGACAATAAATCTAGCCTCAGACTATGCCATGCATTTAGCTATTTACCTTTTCCCTAATATATGCGTGTTTTGATGGCTCCCCCCGCTTTTGAGGCCTAAAAAAGTGAAAAAATGCCCTATTTAGTCCCCAAGCACTGTTTTTCGTTTGTGAAATGTTGTAAACAAGAGCCATGTCAACATGGGCATCCCCTGCCGAATGTGTTTGCTCATTGGAAGAATGTATATGTAGTAGAACAGAATAATTCTATTTTAAGAGGTCTTTTGGTAATGAAAACTGATGGCTATAGTGATTACAGATTTGAAACCTATGTGAATACTAATGGCTGACAATAACAAAGGGCAATAACTGAAAAATAATGCAGGGTAGGTTATCATTATGTGTGCTGCATCCCTCCTCAGTAAAATCTATCAACCTATGAAGTTTAAAGTTGGTACCTCAAACACTTTTTGAGAAAAAGAAAAGAATTGAAAAATTAAGTATGTAAAATAACAAAAGGCAATAACTCAAAAATTAGAAAAGGTAGAATTATCATTCTTGTGCAGTGTACACCTCCTGATTGAGATCTATGCACCTATGAATTTTTATTTTGATACTCAAAGGCTTTTTAAGTTATGCTCTGGACAAAAATTAATTTTGAAAATTAACTTCTCCTCAATGAGATCCATCCACCTTTGAAGTTTCAAGTTGATACCTCAAATACTTTTTGAGATAAGCTCTGGACAACATAGCATGAAAAAAAAACAAAGGGCAATAACTCAAAAAATGTATAGGGAAGAGTTATCATTCTTGTGCACAACATTCCTCCTCAATAAGATCTATCCACCTATGACATTTCATGTTGATATCTCAACAATTTTTGAGTTATGCTCCACTCAGGTGAAAAATTAGGTATGAAAAATAACAAAGGGCAATAACTCAAAAATTATGAAAGGTAGTGTTATCATTCATGTGCACTGCACACCTCCTGAGTGAGATCCATGCACCTATGAAGTTTCATGTTAATATCTCATAGGCTTTTGGAGTTATGCTCTGGACAAAAATTAATTTTGAAAAATAACAAAGGGCAATAACTCAAAAATCATGCAAGGTAGAGTTATCATTCTTGTGCACTGCAATCCTCTTCAAT